CCAATTTTATACATATATATTTAAAATATATAAATATAATTTTTAAATTATATATATATATCCAACCATAGATCTTCTCATTTGCATCCTACTTTGATTTTATGTGCATGTGTAAGTACAGATAAGTACACATTCGGGTATAGGTAAAACCAGCGATTTGTGCTCGAGGCGTGCACAGATTCACGAAAACCCCGGCCGGTGTGAAAGCAGGACTCGGCCTGCCGCGGTCGCGAGGCGGACGAGACTCGTGTCTGCGGTCACGGCGCCACCTCGCGTCTTCTTGGGAACTACACATGAGCAACGCGGCCTCTCGCCTCGGGGCCTGGCAGTCTCCCGTCGATTCACTTAGCAAGTCTGCATTTCACGCCTGCTGTGCTCCCTGCACTGGGATAGATGCAGAGCTCCGCGACGTCCAGGCTGAAGCCTCTGGAGCTCCGGGAAAAGCAAGGGCTGTGCTTGGGAGAAGTCGGCGGGCAGGAAGTGGGTTGGAGGGCGCGACCCAGGGCAGCAGGGCAACCTCTGCTCGGCTCCCAGCAGGGGCTCCAAGAGGGGAGTGTGGGCGCCAACTACTCCCAAGAGAAGCCTGAAGTTCAAGTGTTGGTGGGAAGCCCCTGGGTTTTAGGTGACAACGGAGTTTCGTTATTTCCGAATGTCACGAGCCAACGTCCTGCGCCTGCAGGCGGTCTGAGCCCACATCCCAGCAGGTGCAAGTCCCTGGGCTGTGCATCCTTTGTCCCGGTCCATGTTTCAGTCTGGTTTCACAGCGGGCGGGGCCGGGGGTGTGCTCACACCTGCAGGTGCAACATCCTCTTGCAAGGTCACAGGACCTCCATTCGAACAACCATCCAGAAAGAATGTTCCAGACGAGTAGGAAGCCCACCATTCTCACATGCCCACTGTGCCCGCTCTGGAACAACACTGACCATCAGTCATGCTCAGTGCAGGTTCTTGCAAGGGACTGGATGGTGGAGAGGAACTAAAGGCGCCAGGTGGCCACACCCACCCCCTTCACCAAGGAGCTCAGCACTTCCGGCCCGCGTCACCACCAAGGCGAGTGATAAGCCTGCTGGGAAAAGACAGAGAGCAACCACACCCCACACAGTGCTGGTGACCTACTCTGTGACTAGCATCAGGAGAATTTTCAACGAATAAAAACTAAGAGGCCAGGTACAGTGGCTCATGCCTGTAATCCCAGCACTTTGGGAAGCTGAGGCAGGAGAATTGCTTGAACCCAGGAATTTGAGACCAGCCTGGGCAACACAGCAAGACCTCATCTTTGCAAAAACTGAAAAAAAAATCAGCGAGGTGTGATGCCACATGCCGGCAGTCCCAGCTACCGGGGAGGCTGAGGCAGGTCACTGGAGCCCAGGAGCCGGAGGCTGGGTTGTGCCACTGCACTCCAGCCTGGGCAACAGGGTGAGAGCCGACTCAAAAAACAAATTAAAAAAAAAAAAAAACTAAGTTAGAACTCAAAGAATGACTAAACTGAGTAAGACTGACAATGTGAAGTGCTGACGAGTTTGTGGAGCAACTAAGACGCTCGTGCACGGCTGATGGGCACACAGACTGGTACCGCCACCTCGGAGCATGGTCTGGCAGTGTCCTATGTGCTGAACATGTCATGCTGATGCCCAGCAGTGCCAGTCCCAGATCCGCACCCGAGAGATGGGAGTGCGCATGTCCACTCAAAGACTTGTACAAACTTTAATCAGACTAGCACAAAACTGGAAACAATCAGATGCTCGTCAGGAATAGAACAAACAAATTATGCCATGCGTGTACTCAACGGCCTATCGAACAGACATTTTTTAAAGAAAAGAATGAAACACAGATATGGATACAATTCAAAAGCAGGGCTAAATCTTAAAGGCGAAATGATGAGTTACAGAAGCCAGACTAAAAGAGCACGGACTGCACAACTCCAACAGCATGAAATTAAGGACTAGGTCAAACTCATCTACAAAAATCAGGGTGTCTATTCTTAATATAATGCTTCCCTTCGATGGCAGCATAACATCCAAAAACATCATACGACCTGATCTTCCAGCAAGCAATAGAATTCCATTACATGTGTATGAAAAGTTGTTGGGAAAAGTTTCCAATGTGGCAAGATAACATGTGTTTGCTGACGGATATTCCACTGGTACTGTCCTAACAGAAGAGCTACTAAAGACGAAACGTCAATTTACTGGCAAACCCAAGTCAACTGCAAGGGAATACCAGCACACATCAAAAAGGCAAAGTTTCTCATGGAAAAAACAGTAGCGCATAGGAAAAATAACCTTACGCTTCTTGCGTGAAAGGCAAAAGGATCATCACTTTTCTCAGCCCTTGGAGTCCTGCAGGAATGAAATCCACCACAAGGGCATTACATGGTGGAAATGTTATATCAGTCAGAGCCTGAAATGATTCTAAATTATATTGCAGGAATGAGCAGTGTGGATCCTGTGATCAGCTTTTACATAGTTGTTTGTGAAAATCTTCAAAATGGTGGAGGAAGTGATGATTCTGGAGACTAGAAGTATGCATTATTAACTCCTACATATGAAAAAAATGAAAAACCTCCGTCCCGTTTGACATTAGTCAAGCTTCTGATAGATCAGTTGAGAAGCAGTTTTCAGGAATCACGAGTGCGTCCTTCCACATCGTTTTCAAACAACAGACTGAACTGTACATTACATATGATCCATGTGGGAGGAAGGAAACGACACTGCATTGTCTGCGAGAATAGAGAAAGCTCCAGTGGACGAAGTCCAATGAATTACTATTGCGTGGCAGGTGTCAGTGAACCTGCAGTGCATGTTGGTGACTGTTTCACACATTACCACATGCAGACAAATATGAGATATAAAATTGTGATTTTTTTTATCAGGAATAAGTTCCTCAAGGTCCAAAATCCCATTACAAGTCCAATATCATTGCAATAAGATAACTAGCTCCAGCGCTGTACTATTTAATATAAAGCAATTTGCTTTTCACTATTTTGTAAAAAAGCGTGGCCAAGTCACTGAGAGGTGACCCATGAGATATCTTTAGGGGCAAAGAGTTGATTTCGGTGTGGGTAAGCAGGTGTACACAAATGCAAACATGTATTGAGGTGTGCGTGGGAGACGTGCACTTTACTGAATGCTTCTTATGACTAAATTTTTACAAGGTTAAACAAATTAGAATCCTCAGGGACAGAGGCAATTTGGAGTTGGATGTATTAGCAAAACTGTGGCTCTTATTAAACTCTGTGTGGCATTGCCCAGGCTGTTAACCAGAAGGTGAACCCTCAGGACGTAGAGGGATCTGCGTGTTCCCCACGGGTGACCCTCTGGGGAGAAAGGGCCCATCACGACTGATCTGAAGGGACAGGCACCAGCGCTCCCGGGCAGCACCCCTGGCTCTCTCTCATCCTCACGGAAGGGAACGATGCCCATCTGCTGTGGCCACTGCAGCAGATTACCACAAACTCAGTGACTTAAAATAACCCAGTTCTATTCCTCACACATCTCGAGACCGGAAGTTCTGCGCACCAAGGGTGGACAAGACTTCACTCCTGGGGAGGCCCTGGAGGAGTCCATCTCCTTGCCCGGAACTTTCCAGAGGCCGCCAGTGCTCCTTGGCCGTCTTACCCCCCGCCCCATCTCCCACCCTCCTATCCCCTCCTGTGCAACCCTTGGGGTCACACTGAGCCAGCCTGGGTCGTCCAGGACATTTCTCCCATGTCAGGATCCTTAACCTCACCTGCAGAGCCACTTTAGCCACAGAAAGGAGCCCATTCCCAGGTTCCAGGTCAGGATGCGGGCACCCTGCAGGGCGTGGGGATACTCACCTGCCACGGACACCTCCATGGAAAGTTGAGATCAGCAGATGAGGGTTTCTGACCATGAAGCAGCAGACATGGATGTTCTGTTCTGTTCAGATCTGTTCCGATCTGCCTCGAGAGCTCCCTGCCCAGCTGAGCAGGGTGGTGCGCCAGTGCCCGTGTGGCTCCTTGAGCCGACTTGGCCTCCAGCAGAGGCCCCTCCACTCGGGCCAGTCCCTGCTCCACCTGTGTGTCCCTTCAAACCAGGTCGAAGCTTCATGACTGACATGGTGTTATTAAGAGGAGGCCCAAGAGGTGACAGTGGCAGAGCCCAGCTGGGCTCAAGGCCTTCACGAAGGAGACTTCCCGCCCCTGGTCCCGCTTGTCCCAGCCCTGCCCCCATATGGGACACAGCAACAAGGCGCCTTCCTGGAAGCAGAGAGCCGCCCTCCACAGACACCCCCGTGGGACACCTGGCCGTGGATTCCCGGCCCCTAGACCGTGGGAAACACGTTCGTGAATTGCCCAGACTGGGCTGTTTTGTGATGGCAACACAAACAGACCAAGACAGCCCCGACCCGTCACTGCTCAGGGCAGCGACACAAGGTCCGGGCAGTGGAGACTTGCTCCGGGTCGGAACAGCATGTATTCCCAGGATGCCCAGGAGACCAGCTCTACACTGCAGTTGCTGGCTGCCCTTCCCAGGAGGTCTTTCTCCCACTTTCTTCTCCAAGGGATACTTCAAGCGAGACTCCTTTTCGGACACCTGACTCCATCTAAGCTGGGATTCCCAACACACGACAGACCAGAGAAGGCTGTGAAGATGTCGCTTGGAAAGCCAGGCTCACTGCCTGAAACGCACCGACAGAACGTCCTGAACAGAGCAGCCGACAGAAACAGTGTCAGCCACCCGTGTTGCTTTACACTTTCAGTAAAAGAGGACACCAAACAGAAGCATTGCAGTGGCACACTCACAGCCACCCCAGCGTTGACCTACTGGACTCCGGCGATTCTTCCACCTCAGCCTTCCAAGTAGCAGGAACTACAGGCATGCGCTACCACACCCAACCGATTTTTTTTTTTTATTTATTATAGAGATGAGGTCTTGCTAGGTTGCTCAGACTGGTCTCGAACCTGTGGGCTCAATCCACTCGCCCCGGCCTCCCAGAGGCTGGGATGACAGGCTGAGCCACCAGCCCAGCCAGAAGCATATTTTTAAAATAAGTTTTATTTAACTCAGTGTATCTAAAATACCATCTCAACATATAATCCATCAAAAAAAGAATTAAGAAGGCATCTGACGTTCCCTTTTGGACTTCGTTTCCAAGATCTATAAAACTATATGTGCAGTGCTTCTGACATCCCGCAGTGTGGACATCTCGGGCACTTCCAGGGAGCAGAGGTCTGCTGGAAACAGAGGCCAATGGACGCTGTGGATGATGGAAGACGGATGTAGACTGAAAGCATGAACTTCACCGTGGTCTCTCTGGAGGGGACTGAGGAGCTGTGGCCCCCGCCCTCCTCCTCTGCTTTCTTTAAATGTAATAGTTTTGAGGGCACAAATGGATTCTGGTTACACAGCTGCTCTGTGTAGTGGTGAAGAAATGTGGGTTTTAAGAGGACCGTCGCCCCCACCTGTGCACATTGTCCCAACAGGTAATTTTCCATCCCTCCCCAATCCCTCCATCCTTTTGAGCCTCCAGTGCCCACTGTGCTTCTGCAGACCCTCAGCTGAGCCCCCACTTACAAGCGAGACCACGCAGTGTTTGGTTTTCCATTCCTGCGTTACTTCACTTCGGAGGATGGTCTCCAATTCCACCCAGGTTGCTGCAAAAGTCATTATTTGACTCTTTTTGATGACTGAATAGTATTTCATGGCATTCATATGTGTACATGTGCCACACTGTCATGACGCGCTGATAGACTGATGGGCATTTAGGCTGATTCCACATCTTTGCAACTGTGAATTGTGCTGCGAAGAACACGTGGGCGCAGGTGTCTTTTCTGGATGACAACCTGTCTTCCTTTGGGTGGACACCAAGTAGTGGGACTGCTGGATCGAGTGGCAGATCTCCTTTTCGTTCTTTGAAAAACCTCCATGCTGATTTCCACAGAGGCTGTACTACTGAAATGTAACACGCCTCCTTCTCACCACCATCTGTGGGACAAGAGTGACTCCATTTAGATGCTGACCTGCAGGGAACTCCTGAATAGCCCAGCCCGGGAATGCCCCCAAGATGTCTAATCGATGTGTCACCCTTCCTGTGAAAACACCCATTTACGGGAAGTTCTGAGTTTCCTCCAGAACAGCCCTCGCATGTTTGCCCTATGGCAGCCTTCCAGACACCTGCCTGTTCCTTCCAGAGGGCATACTCTCCTCCCGAGACATGCGCCCAGCGCCTGGGGGTAACAGTACAGAGATCGACCTGTCTCCAGGCTGCTGAGACCACGCTTCTGCCCATGAGTCCTCCCCCACAAATTACCCGACACCGACAAAGCAAACTCATCCGCCCTGTGCTTGGTGTTCTGCTCCTTCTGTGTCCGGGGTCACTCTGCATGGACGGCCCTTTCACGAGTCACATCACACATCACACTTCAGATGCTCCCCCAAGTGCACAAAGACCAGACCCTGGAGCCACAGCTGTCCTCTTCATTCTGTGTCACCGGGCGGAGTCACAGAGGACTGTATCACCTGTGTGGACAGCCCATCCAGTGTCCCCTGGATGCACCTTAATTTTGCCCAGCAGGGAGGTGGTCATGAAGCCGATAATCACTCAATTAAGCATGAAGACAATTCAGTCAACATCAGTACATCCTTTGGTGTCAAGGGGACTGTAAGGAGTTCTCTGGACGTGGACTGTCTCCTCTACCTCTGGCTTCTTCCTGCCCCCTCCCTCAGAGCGTCCTCTGGCCAAGGCTGGCCTCTGAAGGGAGTGCACATTCCCAGTAAACGAGTCACGGGGGACAGGTGACCAAGTAAGCCTGAAATCAACGGAGGCACCGGGCTTAATCAAGCCATTGTCAACACCGGGTAGGAACATGAATGATTGGCTTGATTGCTCTGATTTTAAAAGCGGCACTGTACCACGCTAAGGCCGCGCGGATTCTCCAGCGACCTGTCGCCATCGGTGCCTCCCTTGAGTTTTGCTTTTTTGGGGGGCGTGTCAGAGTCTCAATCGGTCACCCAAGCTGGAGCGCAGTGGCACGCTCACGGCCACCCCAGCGTCGACCTGCTGGGCTCCAGCCCTCCTTCCCGCTCCGCCTTCCAAGCAGCCGGAACGACAGGCGCGCGCCACCACGCCCGGCCCATCTCTGAGTTATTGCAGACACGCCGTCTCGCCAGGTTGCCCGGGCAGGTCTCGAGCCCGCGGGCTCAGGCCGTCCACTCGCCTCGGCCTCCCAAAGAGCCGGGATGGCAGGCTGAGCCACCGAGTCCGAGTGCGGCCCCGTGAGTGCTAAACAACCCACGCCTTTCCCTGCTGGGCCGCCGGGTGACTTCTTTACGCGGCAATCTTTTCGCGCAGGACCCCTCCGAGCTGGGGCCGCCGCGCTTCAAGGGCCACAGGGTCAGAGTTGCTCGGGAGCCCCTCCCAACCTCCTGTCACGGCGCTGACGTCTTCACGCGTGCAGATGACGGCGGAGGCGCCCTTCCCCGGCTCTGTGGGCCCACGCTCCGCACCTCGGGGAAGGGGCACTCTGCAGGGCTCAGTCCCCTCCGCGCCGCCCC